CAAAGAAACCATGACTCTAAAGTTAATTTAGAGTTTGCCAAATTGCGAAAATAAGTTTCGAAGAAACCAAAACCTCCTTAATGGATTTTAGACCTACGGTTTCTTCGGCAAAATTGAATTGCACGTAGAATTCTTTTGTACAAACACGGTCGAAAAACTCTCCCATACAAATTGACCGCTCTAATGTACATACATACATATGTACCTTAAAATACATGTATACAATTTTTCCATTTTTTAAATTGCCTAGAATTGATCTACCTAAAATTACACAAAGATTATGTCCAATTTTTTAATTACCAAGAATTTATGTCCCAATTTTCAAATACCAAAAAAATATGTCCATCTTTTAAATTGCAAAGAATATATGTCTAACTTCTAAGTTACCATGAATTTGTGTCCAGTTTTTAAAAAGCCATAAATTATGTGCATTTTTTCTATTATCAAGAATTTATGTTACCAAAAATTATGACCACTTTTCAAGTTGTACATATCTCCGATTTTTAAATTGCCAAGAGTTTAAGTATCTCTAATTTTTAAGCTACCAAGAATTTGTATTCCCTTTTAAAATTACAACAAAAAATTACGGTCACTTTTGACATAATCAAACATGTACTTTTCTAAATTTATGTACAGTTTTTAAATTTACAAAGAATATTTATCTAATTTTTAGATTACCAAAAATTATGTTAAATTTTTAAATGAGCCTAAATTATGTCGAATTTTTTTTGTTAGCAAGCATTTATGTCCTATTTTTAAATTACCAAAAATTTGCGCCCAGTTTTCATATTACCACAAACTTATGTCCAATTTTTTAATAGCCAAGAATTCATGTCTAATTTTTAAATGATCGAAAACCCAAGTCCAGTTTTAAAATAAACCAAGAATTTTTATTCATTTTTTACATTACCAAAATTTATGTTAAATTTTTTTATTACAAAAATTATGTACAGTTTTTAGGTTGCCAAAAAGGTATGTCCAATTTTTAAATTGCCAAGAATTTGGGTCCAATTTTTAAATTTTCAAGAACTTATATATGTACAATCACATTCATATTTTGAAAAATGAAAAATGAAGTCCAGTTTTTAAATTACAAAACATATCCACTGGGTGAATAACATTCTGTGCTGTCCGAAATTGAACATAAACCTCTGCACGTGTATTAATCAATTTCCTCTTTGGCACTTTACTGTAATATGCGCCCCTAGAACACACACCCGGGTACAAATGTATCCACTTTCAACTTTGAAGTGTTGTAACTTTTGAACCGCTATACCTCTATACCGGATCTAGGAAGATTATTTAGTTTTGAGTTCAAATTCAAAATTTGAACCAGATCGGACCATTGGTTCAGGAGCTACAGCCTTCCAAACACATTATATACGTAAACACACACCCGGGATACGTTTGTACCCC